CCCTGGAGCCTGTCTGAGTTGGCTGTCCAGGGGGGAGACTGGGCCCTGTAGCATTCTACCTGGAGGGAGGGGGCAGGCCCCGGGAAAGGCCGCCACTTGGTCCGGGGACACATATGGACCAGATGTCCTTTCTGAAGCCATCTGTCAGCTTCCCAAGAGACAAAACAACCTTTTAAAACATGTCATGACCCCGTATGCTGCACATTTATTTCAACATTCTTCCTTGACATCGTTGGTCCTGGTAGGAACAGGAATGACACAGGTCTCAGTGTTGTGTTCTAGGGCTTCTGGCTGGGGAGAAAGGACCTGGAGAAACAGCTAGAATTCCTGCAAGTTTGTAATTTAGACTTATCAAGTAAAAGTGCTTAAGTGCCTAACACAGAGTTTGACATTTTCTAGGTGCCCAGGAAATGCCTCTTCATTAATTCACTCTCCAAATCAAATGTCAGTTTCCAAATAAAGTTATTTAAAAAGGGGAGAAGTACACGCTATTATAAAGAATTCCGGTAGGAGTTCATTACCATGCAAGGCCATGGGTTTGGAAATGAAATGGAAAAGTATGGCCAAGAGAGATTAAATTTGAGGCTATATGGTTGACTGGATTGATTGCTAATTAGGGCAATTATCTGAGAGATAATAGAATTACTTCTCGGTTGATATAATTTGGTCACAAAGCATCCAGAGTACTTTCTACCGCAAGCTGAGTGGTCTGCGGAGTGTGGAAACCGAAATCTCCAGAGGGCCACGACACCTTCCCTTTTGAGTTTCTGAAATCCCCCAGGCCGGCCCAGGGAGACAGCCCAGAAGATCTTGAGCCCTGCGCACGCCAGTGGCCACATGAGGTTCTCCAGCACCCACACGACATTGTAGAGGAGGACTGGTGGCCATACGCTGGAAGGGAAAGTGACTCACAGCGTATCAGAGGAATGTCTACATTAAGGAAACTCGGGGCTAGCCTGTTTTCACAGCAGGAAATAGCAGAGACTCGGGTGGGGAGACCATCAAACGAGGCTGATAACGACCCCAGGTCCTCACCAGCTCTCCTGTGGGGGGGGCGTAACACGGGGGGCACCCGTGCTGACTGCAGAAACCGAGAACCCCAGCGAGGTTCGCGAGCACAGGCCGAGGGTGTCTGCACAGGCTCCTCCCAGCTGTGAAGGAAGCAGTCGCTTCCTACTCCAGGTTGAGAGCAGGACGACGTCTTAGAAAGCACAACAGCCTGTACGGAGTAGCACCGTCGTAGCATTCCCTACACAGTCCTGGCCAGCAGGACCTACGACAGGACCCTGAATCCTACAGCAGAGCTGGCTTCCGTCGCCCAGGGAGCCGCAGGGCCCGCGCATGCAGGCGGCACCACGCACTCCCGCCCTCACAGCCGCGCGCACCGACTGGGCCTCCGTCCTGCTGCTGTCCGGAGAGCGGAGGTCAGATCTGAGTGACCCTGACTCACCGTCTCACTGTGCCTCGGCCTCGGAGTCCTTCCGACTCCCTTGCACGTGATCCGTGGCCATCAGGGTCCTCCCTGAACGCCCGCTATGCTCGTCTCACACCTTTGCCTCAAGTCTTCAGGTGGCCCCTGTCACCTTCAGGACAAAGTCTAAGTTCCTGGGCACAGTACACCACAGACCTTAAATCTGGCTCATCCTCCCTAATTTCTTGCTTTTCCCCAAATGTACTACGTTTCTTCACCTTCCTTCCTGCCAAAAATACTCACAAGGCCCGACTTTAGATGCTTGGCATACACAAACGAACAGAAAAAGGTCCTTGTCTTTGCGGGCTCACGTTCTCACGGTGGACAGACAGGCGGACAGAGAGGCATACGCTCGATGCAGGTGGAGAAGTGATGGGAGGATGGACAGACAGATGACAGGCAGGCAGGGCAATGGGCGACTGGCAGTGTCGGGGGTGGCAGCTGCAACGGACTTCCAGGAACCCGAGGGGAGGCACGGGGACTGCGTGAGGCGACACGGCGTCGCGCCGTTTAACTGGGTGGTCGGGGAGACTCGTGCGAAAAGTGACCTTGAGCAGAGACCAGAGACCAGCGATGTGTCCGTCCGAGGGAAGAAAGTTCTGGGCAGCGGGGTCAGAGCGTAAAGGCTCCATAGTAATCGGGGGCTTGAGAAACACCCAGGAAACTGGCGCGGCTGCAGAAAGGGGACGACAGGAAAGACAGGACTGCTGGGCGGAGGGAAGCCAGACCACAGGCACGGGAGGTGCGGACCTTACCCCGAGAGCAGCAGACGCTCTGGAAGACGAGCGGAGGAGTGCCGCCCACACACTGTGCTGGGTCCCGCATCTGGCTCTCCCTCTGGGCTGTGAGCCCCTTCACCCAGAGCAGGCAGAGAGCCGAGCTCATCCCCAGGCCGGGGCTTCTTAGTGGAAAGTCAGACCCCAAGTGCCGCAGGCCCCCACGGGGATGCTGCCCGAGCAAACAGAGATTCCAAAGTAGGGCCCCGGGTGGGCTGGACCGAAACAGGTGTGGTTTCCTTCCAGAGGGTCGTGCTGAGGGTCCTGGCCCCTCCTTCACCACTACCCTCCCCCCACACTTCCCTTGCACGTCTACTCCACTCCCCACGATGGGCGGCAGTCTGTAGGGGCAGATGGAGGCGCTCCCGAGGCCAAGACAGCCCCGTTTCCTACTCTGCTAACCGTCCGAGACATTCGCTTGGAAACACAGACGGTGAGGCAGCCGGCACCTGGCATGTCTTCTCAAACAGCTGAGAGGGTTTGGAGACTATACCTTAGCCACGGCCAGGAAAACATCAAGGTGTACCAGCCCCGCCCCTCATCGTTAGGAAAGAGGTAATGGAGGAAACAGACCGTGCGTGCTCTTAAGTTCCATCTAAATTCGTAAAAAATTTAACACGGAAGGCTGGAGCTTAGAACAAGACACAAGTTACACCCTTGTATGTGGTAAGAAATAACAGAGCCGGACAGAGCCAGGGTCCCTGTGGTCTGGATGAGGCCCCCACTGTCTCACCAGCAATCACAAACCGCCCTGAACCAGCTTCTCGCCTGTAAAATGGAAGACAGGACACCTGACTGGTTTCCGTGAGAACGGGAGATACGGACGATGGTAGCCATGTGCCTACGTGTGTGTGCGTTGCGATGTCTCACGCGGCTGCATGTACCTGCACATCTGCATACAGTTGTGTGTGTCCCCACGTGTGCAAGTCTACCTGTGTGTGTCCATGTGTGTCTGCACACGTGTCCGCACATCTGCATATCTAGGTCACACCTGTGTCTACGTGTTTGTGTCTAGATGTGTGTTTCCGTGTACTGACATGTCTGGGTCGACGTGTGCCTGTGTGCCTGTGTACACGAGTCTGTGTACCCACACGCGTGTGCACATACAGGTGTGCTCTGCGGGGTGGTGTGCACACTGGCTTGTGTATACCCATGCGTCTGTGCACCCGTGTCTACTGTGTGTCCGTGCGTGCCTCCACCGCACAGGCCTGTGAGTGCATGGACATGTGGCTACACGTGTGTCTCCCACATGTGCGACTCTGTGCCATCAGCATGTGGTCATACCTGTGTGTCTCCTGTGTGTGCGACTCTGCCCGTCCCCATGTGTCTGCACTTGTGTCTGCTGCACGAGCACACGCAAACACTAACACGGTCGTATCTGGACGAGCGTGGTAACGAGCATCTCACGGTGAGTTGACAGCACCTGTGCGCGCGCCTCCCCCCGCTTGTTTGAAAGAGGCCTCTGAGTCCCCTGAATGAGGACGGGCTCCTGACCCACGCTGGGCGTTCAAACGTCTCTGGAAACAGAAGGTGGAGTTGAGGGCAAGCTCCTGCTTCATTCCATCCCCACAGTGTCCCCACACTGAGGCATCTGGGCACGGGGGTGGGAGGGCCAAGGGGCAGCCCTCAGCCTCCACTGCCTTTCCAGGCACTGTCACTCCCCCCCCCCGCCCCAATGACGACCCTGGTGCTGTAAGGTCTGCCCTACCCCTTCCTCCCTCCCAGGAAGGAGCCCAGCCAGGAAGTCAGGCAGAGGCTCTTTACTGGAACAGGGGGGTTGCCTGGTCACCCCGCTAATGGGAGGAGCCCTGATACAGAACCAAGAGCACGGTCGACCCCCCCGGCCCCGGTGTGCACCTCCCGAGCTGCCGCATCCCACAGCCCCCGCTTCCTGTTCCACAGCATCAAGGAGCAGTACGCACCCCGTTTGCTGTAAAAGCCAAGCGGGACAGGACTTGTGAGAGCGCTTGCAAAACTCAGAGTATGAGCGTCACCTTCCGTCGTCGGTAGCAACCCCCTCCGCCCCGAACTGAGGTCCCAGCAGCAACACTTACTGATCATTTTCCTTAGAAGCCGTAGTCTAGTCAGAGAAGCAGGAAAAAGCAACTTTAATGCAGATGCTGGGAAAAAAATCTCTCAAAATGTCATTAAAATATTAATCGTCACACAAGCTTTCTGACGAGAGAAATTAATGGGACACAATTAATGACCGAAATCTAAACCAGCCAAACCCGGTGATGGCTGCAGCGAACAGAGTTACCAAGACAGCGTTCCCGCACGTGGCACGGTAAGACATAAAGGAAACAGAGAACACAGGAAAGTACAGATTTCCTTTTTTGAAAACTACTTCGAAAACAGAAATCCTGGGGATAAAAGAAAAGGAAAAAATGATACTCACAGCCAAGAAAATACAAAGTAAAACCACATGCTGAGTACTAACACCTAAAAACACCCAAAATTTGGCTCATGAGAGATTACTGTTCAGTTGTTATGAAATTCTAAATAGCAGACGTTATCTTTAAAAATGTGAAAAGAGCTACTGTTTATTGCGCTCTAACGCGTACCCCGGGGCGGGTGTTTGTCTAGGAAGCAGGATGTCATCACCTGTGATCACACAGCCAGCCCGAGGCCACCGAAACGTACCCCACCCCCGCCTCACCCCACGCAGGACATGCACCCGCCCGTCCCCTTCACCATCCCCGTCGCCATCTCAGACCGGAGGAGCAGTGACCTCACGCCCACGGGTGCCTTACCTGACCGGTAGCGCTCATCTCGTGACCCTGAGGACCTCCGGCGGTGATAGCGAGTGGAAGGAGCAGGAGTGACGGGAGCCCGGCGCTCGGGAGGCAACGCCTGATCCACCCCTGGGTTAAGGGAAACAGCAGAGTGAGGTAAGGCTTTACCCGGTGGCCCGGGTCCATCCGTTTGGTAAAATCACTTGGTAGAATGAAGCAGCAAGTCAGGCACGTCATGGACATGGAGCGGGAAAGGGAGAGGGTCTGGTCAGGGGAAGGCTTGCGCCCTGACACGGCAGCCCATACGGACCCCCACACCGCCCCCTGCCCGCGCACGCCTGTGCGCGGATGGGAAAGGGGGAGCCCACGGAATGGAGCTACGGTCTTCTCCACACCACAAACGTGCAGAAAGGCTTCTGCTCACTCTTGAGGAGATTTAATGACACTCATCATGAAGGTTACCTTTGTAATACGTCCCACAGGACAGCTTAACGGTCCAATTCGGGGAACCAGGACTGTACAGAGTCACCTGCTCACTCAGTCTCTAACTCTGAAATCCACTCCCTCTGATGCGAAGGGACTGGAAAATCTCTATTTCCATACGGTTGTGACGAATTCCCTGACAGGATAAATGGTCAATTAAAACTGCTCTGACGGGTGTTTGTCAAGAGCGGACCTAGGTCTGGCGACGACGATACGGCGGCGTGTGGGACCGCGAGCAGTGAGGGCCGCATCGCCACGAGACTGAGTAGGTGCGGCAGGAACGGCCTCCGGTGCCGGCTCAGGAGTGAGGAGACTGGGAGCACTGGGCCTCCAACAGCAGCTGCTGCGTCTTCAGAAAGGACGGCCACACCTGGCAGAGGTCACCAGTGGTCGCATCTTAACCGAAACCGTTTCGTCCCTGTTTCTGCGATGGCCCCAGGGGGGGTGTTCCTAGGAGCGGTGTGACGGGTCCTCGTGCTGCTGACGGCTGCACGCACTCCCTCCTTGAAGCAGGCTCCACGCTCAGCGTGAGGCCCGAACTCACGACCCCAAGACCAACATTCTCACGCTCCACCGACGGACCCAGGCAGGCGCCCTGCGGAACCCCCGCTCCTGCTGCCACGTTTGGGGCCCGTGACGGGGTAGGTTTCCTGGCGGTTACCCAGTTTCCTGCACCAGAACGGTGCTTGCCGACATGCGTCCCTGAACGTCTTGATGACTCAGCGGCTCACAGCTACCGGACCTCGTCCAGTTAGAGTCTGCAGGTGACCTTCAAAACCACCCTTTCCTCAGACGCACAGAACTCATGAAGCCGAGGAGTACTATTAAGTCACCAAGAAAAGTGTTGTCATTCGGTACTTGTTTACAAACAAGAGCTTATGATCCCTCTTAACGGCCCGTGTTAGACAACACACGACCTCTCACAAGAGCGCAGCCGTGCCCAGCCGTTGGCAGGGTCACGACTCAGCACTGCGCTGTGACCCCCTCCTATCTCACTTTTCCTCCACTCCTGGGGGAGTGTTTGCATCTTTGGGTTCCACCATCTTGGTTTTCAATGGACCTCACGCTACTTCCTTCAGAATATCCCAGCGGAAGTGAAAACCCTTCCCAACACTCTCTCCCCGTGGGCCACCCCAGACAACTTGGGGACAGTCTTGTAGTTCAGTATTCTGTTTCGCTAAAGACCCTCCCCGTGGACCCTTCCTGCTCTCATCCGGGCCAGCAGGCCCAGACCTGCTGCACGGCACCCCCCACGGCACCCCTTCCTCCTGGAACTGGCATTTGCCCAGACGTCTAAGCAGAATTACATGGAAATTTGTAATTTTAAAAATTTGTAAAAATCAATTTATTTGAAGGTTTTGTGCATTCATTGCTTCTCATGTCAACTACTGGTGAGAAGTGAGGTGTCGTTCCCATGGTGCGTGAACAATCTGTTTTCTCCTCCGTCGACGTTCACAGCACTTTCTTACTCCCAGCGAGGAGCTGTGAGCCGGCGTCCCCCTCCTGTGGGGGTTGTCACAGACCCACCTCCAGCAGCTGACCTTTTACCCGGGCCGTCCGTTTCCGGAGAGGAGACGTCTCCTGGCTTGTGGGTCAACACGGGGGCGTCCGTCATTAGCGGCTACAGCCGCTCTCCCCCTCCGGGGCACATGCTCAGACTCGGTGCCTTGTACCCCAACCTGCGAGGTTCTCAGGTCCGTTTCTCCAGAGAACAAACATTTCTCGGCGGAGGGACTGGGGTCACCTGCTTCCTGGATGCCAAGCCTCGTCCTCTCCCTGACGGTGCCCATGAGACCAGCACCATCTGCTACCCTGGGCACCCCCATCCTCGACCCCACATAGCACTAAAACCCGTCCCTGTTTCTCCCCATCGTCCGTCCTGTGGATTTACCGTCCGTCCGTGTGGGGACATCTCAGTGCGGCTCTGCTCCATGTGCACGTTCAAGCTGCCAAGGCTAAACAGCATCTGATTCTTCCCCACAGCCAAGTCCACGGGCCTCTCACAGACCGGAGAGTCAAACACAGCCCCCGGAATTCCCTTAACCTTCTCCCCGCAGGGGCCCCGGCCGGCCACACACTTCCAGTGCCCGCAGGCCCCGTGCCCAGGCCAGGGCCTCCCACACCGGTCCTCAGCCGATTCCGCATGCAAACACGGACGTCCACGTCCACAGGCTGAAGCGCACGGCTCACAGCGCAAGGTGTAAGAGAAATGAGTTAACTAGCAAAAGGAGAATAGCTTCCCCAGCTCCCCGGCAACAGGGCATTCTAAAGAACTAAAACATGGGTGTGCACGCCTCCATCGTTAATTCTCATCCGCCCTCACGGTGAACGAAACCTGCAGCGCTTCAAGCACGTTCCGACAAGGAAAAGCCATCCGTCCAACGCACAGATAGGAATTTCCCGCCTGTCCACACCGGGGGCCCAAGGCCGCGCGCGGAGGGGTCTCTCCTGTTGCGTGTGAGGCAGCACGAGAACACGCATCACTACGGGAACACACCAAGCTCCGGACGCTCCTGCCACAACCGAGAGCCCATCTTGGGACCACCGGAGAGTGGCAGCAGCACGTGGGGACTGGCTCTGAGCAAGGACACTGGAAGGTGAGGGTCTCGAGGGAGGTGGGGAAACCTCCAAAAACACACGAAGCCAGCGGGCCAAGATTAATCCTTCTCAGGCAACAACGTGGCAGGGACAGAGAGTGGCTGTGTCCCTCGTTTACGAAGCACCGTGTGGCAGATAGCGACCCAGCCTCGGGTGCCATGTGAATCGAGGGACAGAGCACCAGGGACGTGTGCTCCGGAGCCGGGCACCTGTCCGTCACCCTGAGCCTCGGTTTCCCATCGTACGCAGTTCTGCCGTGCTAAGTAGCCCCACTCACAGGTGGCGGCCCCTTCCCTCGAGACGGCACCCCCCGCCCCGCCGGTGCTCGCCGGCGCACTGGGAGCCCCGTCCTCAGGGTGGAGAGGTCGCTGCTGGGCTCCGTGTGCTGGCGCAATGACCACTGTCACACGGGCAAACCTGACTGGTCCCCTGAAGAGAAGCAGCCTTGTGATCTCACCGCCAAACAACACGTGCCCCGGGGACCTTCGCAGGACAGATGCTGCCCAGGAACGAGATCGGGGCAGCGGACGGCTGAGGTCGGCAGACAGTGACACGTCCCTTGGATTCTTACTCAAGAGGCAGCCAGTCAGGAGCAGGGAAGCCTGTGTGCTTGGCTCCCCCACAGCAGTGCTGCCTCTGGCCACAGGGGGTCTCGGGGGGCTCCTGAACAAACACTGGGGTCTTCCTGGCATGAGCAGGGCCCTGTGAGGCTCCCACCAGGCGTCCGTACAAACATGACCTTCCGGGAGGCTTCTGTTTCCCTCGAGAACCCTAAAGGGGCTGGGAAGAAGGAACCCAGGAGCCCAAGAGGAAAGAGGAAGGAGGCCAGGCAGGGGGACGGTAACCCAGCCCGGGTCCCCGGCGCTCTGCCAGCAACGACCTCAGACAGCCACACACGGGTCATTTCTTCCAACACACGACGAAGGACTCCCCCAAGGAATCCCTCACAACGCAGAGCTGTCCCCTGCGCAACCTGCCGACGCCAGGACCAGACGCAGAAACCACGGCGAATGTCACGCTCACCAGGAACGTGGCCCCGGGGCTCTGTGGCCTGGACATGCCATGTGCCTCAGGCCAGGAGACCTGCCGCGTAGACCACCGTCACTCATTCAGGAAGTCAAATGTTCTGGGAAACATCAAGACTTCCAAGTTCAGAGAGCAAGGGAAATATATAGAAAGCGGTAGCTTTCAACGTATTTTCAAAGGAAATCGCGAAGGATCTTGGAAGATGACTTCCACAAACATGCATCTGGAATTCAAAACCAGAGACCTTGATCCAAATTCTGGTCTTACTCTAAGCCCGCATGGAACTGAGCAAATCCCCAGCTTCCGCATAGGCTGGGGAGCAGACGCGGACACGGTCACGTGCGAGGGGCATCCCCGGGCCCTGGCTGGAACCTCTCAGTCCTGCGTCCTCGCGTTCAGCGCCCACGGAGCCCGGGGCCCAGCGGGGCTCACAGCATCTCTGGCCCCCACACACGTGGTCCTGCCTCAGGAGCCTGGGGAAACCGCGGAGGGCTTTTCCGTAATTCCGGTCTGCACAGAAACAATGTCTGAACCGTCCCCCGCTCTTCTGGTACCGGACGGACTCATGGCAGCACTTCCTTCCACAGTCAGTGCCATCAAGCCTCCACAGAAGACACGCAGCACAACGTGTGTGTACGGACGGGGAACCTGCGTGTTTGCTTTGTACGGACTCAGGTCAGAACACGCACAGAGAGAAATCCTCTCCCCTCCACAGCGACCCTGACGGTCAGCCCGACTCCTGCCTCTGCCTCTCGTGACCGAAGGCCTCGCCAAAGTCTGTACAAAACTGCTAACCATATTCCTGTCGACAAACTTTAGTTTATTAGGGACTCATTTTCTGGAAAAATGCAGGAGATCTGGAACTTTAGGGAGCTCGACGTGCACCCAGCACTCACTCTTTGGTCTCCGAGGAACAGAAGCTCAGAGGGAAAGAACGCACGAGGTCAGGAGCAGGGTCGCAGACGCCTGCAAGTTTCAGATACCCACACAAGCCTGTTCCAAAGCAGACGACTTCCTCGCTGTCCAGGCAGACACTCGGCTCCCAGCTCTGCGCACGCGGCAGAAGCTTACACGGGACATGGCTTCGCGTCCTCACCCTCCCCGTCGCCACCGGTCTCGGGGAGCGGGAGTCTGGCCGGCAGAACACCACTGGGAATAACAGGAAATCCATGTGACCGAGACGACAGCAGCGTGTGCTGAAACAGGAGTCCGGCAGCAACAGCAGCAGACTGTGTACCGAGATCATGACCGTGGGGGCTTACCCAGGACCCGGGTCGCCCCCCTCCAGCCAAGGACGGCTCAGTTCCTACAGCAAGTCCACTTGGAAAGGATTCATGCTGAGTCACACACCAGCAACCTGATTCAAAGACCCATGTTCTCCTCTGGGGTTTATGCGCCTGACACCCGGTCTGTCATGAACAGATGGCACGACGTGACCCCCAGTGGAGGCGGTCCCCAGGTAGGCTGCTGTCCCTCAAGCCCTAGCGGGGACGGGTTCATGGGGCTTCTGGGCCCGGGGCTGCACTCTAGGGGACCCTAACTCCCGCTGCGGAGTGAAGACGTGGACCTGGCCTGCAGCGGGCACCGGAGGGGCAGAGGTCCGGCCCGCGGCAGCTCGGCAGACCCAGGCACCCACACGCTCTCTTCTTGGAGGCCCAGCCGCACCTGCCCACAGTCTGCATCCTTCAGGCCAGATGAGGAAGGATCTCATCTTCCCTGGGACCAGAACAGAGCGGCACACGGACACGCTGCCTCGGGCCTCAGCGGAGCTGGCTCCGGGTGCTTCCCACCCCCTGAGCCCGAGCTCCAGCACCTGCTGGACACGCTGGCCGGGAGGACACGGGCAGAGCCCTACCTGCCACCAGCAGGGCTGTGACGGGGCTGCAGACGGTGAACGGTCCATCCTTCCGCAAATCTCTGAAAGCGCCGACCTCCTCGGGGGCGAGCTGGGTGCGGAGCCATCAGAACTCGCCCACCATCCGGCTGCAGCTGCGCGACCGTGGCAGGAGTAGGGGGTTGTGTGGAGCAGGACCAGAGGGCCTGTCCTGACCCCAGGCATCCCTGCAGAAGGGACCTGGGAACCGGGCTCTGAATGACGCACAGGGGCAGGCAGAGGGCACAGGCGGGTGCAGAAGGCCGCCCCACCACGGGCGTGGGACCATCCCGCAGCAGGCAGGTCCGCGGAGCTGAGGAGGGGCCGGGCGTGCCGTGTGCAAAGTCCTTCTGACAGGGCTCGGCTGCGCTCTGCAGGGGCCAGCCGCCTCCCTGAGCAGAAGCAAACGTGGCCACTTCACCCTCACCAGGAGAGGCCTCTCCGTCAAGGAGGCCGGTCCCCAGGGAGAAGGAGGGAAGCACAGACTCGCCCTCCAGTCTCGTGACTGCAATCCACGATTCCCGTAACGTTGTTGGGAAAGCAAGACGTCACGGCGCGGGTGAGCCCCAGGGGGACCACCGTCCACGGAGAACCACCATGGGGTTGTGGGGACAGATTCTTCTAACATACACGCTGTGGGACAGGGACTCTGGTGCAGGGAAGTCTCGCCATCTAGGTAATGGCGGAACGTGATGACGGCCTCGTCCCGGGAGCCACGGACACCCGGTCGCGGAAGCCAGCGTGGGCGCCGATGTGCCCGCAGAGACTGGTGGCGGTGGGTCTGTGTTCTGTTCTTAAAGTCGTATCAGGCTGGAGATTAATGACAGAGACACCGCAGACAGGCACCAGGACAATGAGTCGGTCTTAAGTAATATTTCCTCCTTGAAAATGATTGTTAGTGTGTTTTCCTGACGTCTTCTCTTTCTCCCAGAACAGTATTTTCCTCTAGATTCAGGGATGCGCTCAACATCACGCTCCACCTGGTACCTCCGGGCGTCCAGAGAGGGATACCAGGAGACAGACGCTTCCAGAGCACGTCCCCTGGGACAGGCTAACGTGCGGGACTCCGACCCGAGTGCTCACAGATGCCCGTACAAGCCACTCCAATTCAGAACTGTGTGTCCCAAACGACATCTTACAAGTGGTTTTAGAATACCTCCTAGTAGGGTTAATCTTTTCTCTGACAAATAAAAATAATGTTAAAAAAAGGTTCAGAAAACACCACAGCCTTACAGGAACGCACTCATCAGGGTAAGGAGACCAGCCGCACAGACGCTTCTCCTGAGATCCCGTCCCCAGCGCGTCACGTCTCTGAGCACGTCGGGAAAGGAAGCTCGGCCTCCGCGGCCCTGGCTCTCAGGCTGCTTCCCCGAGCTCTACAGAGTGAACGACGGTTCACACACGTTCTCAGAAATAATGACTCGCCGTGAACACCACCAAACGGGCTGGGAATCTGCTGTCCTGAGCCTTGAACCGCGGGGAACCTGTCTTCCCTTCCTGGGGTCTTGGAGGGGCCGGGACCAAGGACCCCAGAGCAGCGTCCCCATGCAGACCGTCTCCTCCTCGTGTCTCAGTCAGGAGTGGAGGGCTCCCGTGAGCCGCGAAGCAGACCCCACGGCGAGCGCCTGAGTCTGCAGCTCTCACCCACCCGCCCCCGCTCAGCCAGCTGGACCGAGAAGACGAGTGGGAGCCCCAGCGCGGCGCCTTCGAGACCGAGGCCAACACAACAGTCCACTTAGCTCTTTATTTCTTCAGGGTTTTCAAATAATGGCCTTCACGTGGGATAAAACCCTACAGGTAAACCTAAAGCGAACCAATGCTCATTCTCTTGTTCTACTAAAAGAGGCGCTAAACTCATTTTTTGAGCTTCTTATATTCAAAACACGACCACAGTAGTCCCTGTGGCCTCTGAGCAGACTCCTGGCCTCTGAGAACACACTCTCCGACCTCTGGCTCGATTTCCCTCTTTCCCTTTGGAAACAGGATCCCTAGCCCGAGACTCCCTCGCCGACCCGGACACCCGGGGTAGCAGAAGAGCGAGCAGGGCCACAGGATGATAGGATCTGCCGCCTTCTCGGTGTTTCTAAGCGGTGTTCCAGCAGGGAAAACACGGTGTAAGACACGGCATTACGCCCTCAGAGAGGAGACTCAGAACGGGGCCTGAGGACGTGCGACAGCCGGGGCGCGGGGGCTGGAACCCGCCCAGAGACCCAGGGCAGCGTGTCCTCGGGGAGCAGCACGAGCCCGTGGGAGGCCGGGGCTCACTGCGAACCCCTCCTGCGCCGGCCCCTGCCACACGGGGTTGGCGGCCCCTATCCTGCGGGGTCTCTCTCCGGGGAGGACGCTCACCGAAGCGAAAGTAAAACAGCGGCCGGTTCCCCGCGGTGCTGGCCACCCGCTCTCGGCCCGCGGCTTCTCGGACGTCGCACACCCCGATGTTGCCGGAGCGCGGTGCTCTTCCCGGGGCGCCTTCACCGTGCTGCAGCCTGCAGCGGACCACGGCAGCTCCGTTCGCTGCTGTAACAAGTTGAGAAAGACTAATTAATGCAAACTTGCGTTTTTTAAATTTGTTACAGCACTGAGCAGAGCTGCCGCCCCATGCAGAACAGCACAATGGGCCACCCTCCGCGCCCCGCCGCACGGTCAGCCTCGGCCTGCGCACCGCCCGCGGCTCGACCCACCTCCGTCTCCCCGGGCTGGGTGCATCACAGACACTCAGGGCCCCCGAGGTCGAGAGTCCCCCTGCGCCCGGCAGTCCCGGTCAGAGATGCGGCGGCACCCCTGCCAGGAGGAGTCCCCTGCCCGGCCTCGGAGACGCCATGAGCCTGGCGGTCCTGTCGGCGGATCGCCAGGTCTTTGCCCGCGTCTGCTCCGAAAGCCTCCCACACGCAGCCGTCAGCCAGCCGCGCAGCGGACTCGCTCTCAAGCCACTGAACGGCACAGAGCTCCCCCTTCCAGGAGCAAGACAAGAGGAAATGCCAGCCACGGGCTAGCAGGCCAACACGGCACCTCCACCTCCACCTTCTCAAGCATCAGGCAAAGCAAGGAAAACACACAAAACCAAAACAAAACCACAAGCACAACAGAGAGCCCACCCGCCAAGTCAGGTCTCTAGAGTGCGCGCTGGGGGGAAGCACCCCTCCCTGTGCTAACGGGACACTAGCAGGGGCCAGGGGAGCGGGGGTCCCGGGAGGGAGAGGGACAGAGCGCGTCTGTGCGCCGTGTGCACCTGCAGACCTAAGCCTACCAGAAGCGCTTGCAACAGGTCGTGTCAGTGGTGGGAACGACAGAGGTCACTCAGGTGCTGCCCTTTCTCGTTGAGGACCTGGGTCAGATTTAAGTCACTCCTAAAACCTAGCAGGTGCTCAAGGCCACCTCCAACGGAACTACGCTTCAGTCAGAATTGAAGGGCCAGAACCCCAGCCTGGGAGTGTCTTCCTTTCCCGAAACGTGCAGAACGTAGGTCAAGTGCACACATACTCTACAAACCCGCACCCAGGAAACACTCGCACGAGACGGACTTTGTACTTTGGGGAAGAACGCGCGGCCTCTTACAACCGCACTTCAGAACACGACCCGCCTGTCCCAAGTCACAGCCCACGCGGGACGCTCTGCCTTCTAGATGTGCCCCTCAGGGCAGCAGCCCAAACCCTGGGTTAATTAAACTATAGTCAATGGCAATGATTTTTAATTCACTAAACCAGAAGTCACGTTTACATTATAAATGCTCCCACATTTTTTGTTCATAATCAGCATTTTAAAGTAATCCATGGATTCTTGCCTTGCATAGATGAAAGACCCATTATATTTATTAGCACAATTCCGGAAGAGTCCTCCGCGCCTCCCGTGTCCACGAGACACACGCACTCACAGGGGAGGCCGGCGTGGCCAGCGCCACGTCAGAAGTGTGACCTTCGTGCAGGCTGGGCGTGAGAAAGGATTTGCACTCGGGTGTCACTTGCATGTTACACTTAAGTCTTAAAATTAGATGCTTTATATACTCATGGAGGGTACGTACTCGGAGGCTGGGGCAGGTAGGCTCCAATGAGTTTCGACCTCTTCTTTTCATATCCTTTTTGGGTGATGTCACCTGGAAGAGACGGAAAGAGACATTCAGAATGGTCTCAGTGACGAGTGGGTCGCTCACCGGACTCTAAGACGCCACAAGTTAAGTCTTTTGGGTCATCTGTTTGCCTTTTAATTATAATTTACAGAAGAAAGCACCTTGTCATTCCCCTTGGCCCTCCCCGGCCCTCAAATAGTCATTTAAGTTGCATCAAAACCGTTGGTAGGCTTCTGCTTGTCCCAGCCCCTCCCTGCGAGGTCTCCGCTCTCAGAGGACCCAGAATTCGAGGCTGCGACCTCACTCACACCAGCCGAGCAGGAAGCGTTCCGGTCTGCGTGGCTCTCGCTAGCTAAGCCAACAAGGGACACCACAGGCATCGACGCGGGGGATAGTCACCCAGACCTCTGCGGGTCAGCGTCTCCCCCCACTGACCAACCCAACTGGTCAGGCCCCAGGACACCAAACTGCTTGGGGTGCATGAAAGTAAGTGACTCAGACCACATGCAACGGGAAACACAACAAGCCAGAGAACGTGGGACCGACGGAAACCCACGGTAGGTGAGGAAGTGCTTATCCTTCCAGCAGAAACTGAAAGGTGGAAGCCAGAGGTTCTCGCGCAGAAGAGGGAGAGAGCACGCTGGCGTCCTCCCCAGCGCTCGGGACGGACACAGCAGTCCGCAGAACACACCACAGCCTTCTCTGACTGTGCGCGCAAATACACACCAGATCCTGGCTGTGCCCTTGAGTGGTCTGTAATGTTTTTTCCCCAATATTCTGATCAAACCATCATTCCCGAAAGAGCCGAACACTCACGTGCTAACAGCAGTAGAGCAGATCGGTGCGTGAGCTTTTTCTAATGTCACATGCTCCCTAAATCTGAGCGAACCATCCAGCACCCGGAGTGTCCGCGGACCCACCCGACGAGCTCACAGCCCCACCGTGCCTTCGCGTGCACCCCACGAAACACACGCCTCGTTTTAAACAACGGAAGTCTGTGTGCAAAGTGGTTCCCGCTCTCAACCGGCCAGCATTTCGAGGCCGTGGTAGGTCCGCGGGTCACCGTCGGCAAGGACGCTCTCGGCTCAGTGCTCAGCTGGACGCGCACGACGGCTGTGCCCACACCCGCTGTCTGCGCCGAGGCTGCTCCGCTGCTTCAGGAAATGCTCCATCCAATCCCCCATTTTATTTACTTATTTTTAAAGATCTTATTTACTTCTCTGAGAGAGAGAGAGAAAGTGCACGCACAAGCAGCGGGAGCAGTGGAGGCGGAGGGGAAACAGGCTCCCCACGGAGCAGGGAGCCCGACGTGAGCCTCGATCCCAGGACCCCGGGGTCATGACCGGAGCCGAAGACAGACGCTTCACCGGCTGAGCCACCCAGGCGCCCCCCAAGTTCCCTGTTTTAAAAGACGCCTAAAACCTCAACAACCCGAACCCACGTGCACGTCCACAGTCCGGGGCAGGTCCGCAGTCACCGGGGAAAGGGAGAGAGTGAGCGCCTTAGGACGCGGGCTGACGAGCGTCGGTCCGGGCCACGCCCAGGACAGCAGGTCGGGCCACGCCCAGGACGACACGCCTCCTGACAGGTTAAAGCCCAACATCTCGGAGGAAACAGCTAAGACTGACCAGCAGAAGCACCACGGGACGCAGGAAGCCGTGTGGCTGCGGTGGGGCCGCACGGGGAATGGCTCAGGGGTCAGAAGCGCACAGGCCCCCCAGGCTGCTTCAGGCCAGGCCACCCGAGCGCAGGGGATGGCGAAGCTCCCAGTCCCGATCGCACACAGGCAGGAACTGTCTGCTCCTCAAGGACAAGGCGGGGCACACCAGAGGCTTCTCCCCACCCCAGCAGCCCTGCGAAGCGGCTGCCCGCAGGCTCCCTGAGGTTCCCCGTCCCGCAGCACGTGTGCTGCCCCCTCCACTCCTGGAGCGCAGCGCTGGTGAGGAAGCCCGTTCATCTCCGTCTCCCTCATCCTCCATGGCTCAGGGCAGCACTTCCCCAGTTCAGAGCCCGGCTGCTCCCTGCGAGGGAAAGGCTGTGACACTGGGGATGGGAGGAGGAACACGCAAGTGAGGGCGCACAGCGGGGCCACAGCGGTCCTGACTGCCCTGGAACACGCGGCAGACACCTGCTGCTTGCCTGCCCTGCCAGCCCCTTCCCCTGCCCTTCCCCAGCCTCCCAGTAGCTCTGCACGGTTCTAGGCCTGAGTCCCAGCCTGGGTAAGCCGGCACCTTTCACGGATGCTCTGCACCCAAAATTCAGCTCACGTTTTTAGGAATGTCTCAGATGGGGCACCTGGCTGGCTCAGTCATTAAGCACTGCCTTCGGCTCAGGTCATGGTCTCAGGGTCCTGGGATTGAGCCCCAAATCGGGCTCCCTGCTCAGCGGAAAGTCGGCTTGTCCATCTCCCCCTCCCCCTGCTTGTGTTCCCCCTCTCTCTAACAAATAAAATCTTAAAAAGAAAAGTCTCAAAGAAACACATAAATATGGGGGGAGGAGATCCTTAATTTTTGGCATGGGACTACCTCAAAGAAAACTCAGTTTTTACTGTCTTACTTGAAGAAGTTCCAATTATCAAGACCTTAGGCCTCAGGAAAACAGGACTTTTCCTGGTGAAACCAGGACTGTGCATGGAATTGGAAGAGGTCAGAGTTGGCTTCGCAAGGGCACATCCACATAGGTCCCTGACCCCACACAGCCCCTAACACGGCACAGGTCCCTGACCCCACATGGCCCCCAAACCTGCACAGGTTCCCCTGCACAGGTTCCCAACCCCACACAGGTTCCTGCCCCCCACAGGTCCCTGACCCCACCTGGCCCCTAACCCCACACAGGGCCTCAACCCCACATGGGTTCCTGACCCCGCACAGCCCCTGACCCTGTATGGTCCCAACCCTGCTCAGCCCCTGAGCCCACACAGGTCCCCAACGCCGCACGATCCCCGACCCCACACAGGTTCCCGACCCCACACAATCCCCGACCCCGCACACCCCCCAATCCCACGCAGCCCCTGACCCCACGCAGAAAGGGCTGGGCGGCAGGAGGCATCTGAGCGTCCGAGCGCCAAGTCTCACGCCGCCCCCCCCACCGGGAAACCGTGCTTGGAAGCCAGGAGCTCGCGGGGATTTCCAGATTCCGCTCTCGGAGCCCAGCCTGCCGACCGCCCTTCGAACCCACAAGCACGGAAAGACCATTTTTAATGAACGACTTCATCCAGGTCAGGGGTCGCCGACTCCACATCCAGTCTGTGGACTGTTCCTGCCCGCGAACCCGCCGGCACCGGGCCGCACTGCCTCGCACACCACTTGGGCTGCCGTCCCCGGGACAGCGGGTCTCGCAGGCGAGAGCAGGCAGGAGGGCGCGTGCTTCCCAGCCGGGGCCCCAGAGCGACGCAGAAAACACTCAGACCATATCCCCAACGGCCACCCTGGAAGCCGCACCCGGGACCATCCACCCCACCCCACCCCTGCCTGCCCGGGATGCGCTCCCATCAGGGCCGCTGGGCCTTGGGGCGCTCTCGTCACGCCGCCTGGACGGCTGCTTCGGGCTGGCGTCTGTCACACGTTCAAGCCACCGCTCCTCCGACCCAGGGCGTGGTGCCATCAGGGGCCACCGTCCTACAGAGCCGAGCCCCAGCCCCGCAGGCTCGCGAGCCGGCACGGCACACACGTGCCACAGAGCGACACTGGGTGCCGGCCGGCCGGGATGTGCATGCACCCGCAGGGCAGACCCAGGGTCCCCGCGGGGGCTCCCCAAGAGCCTGGTATTAACGTGTGGAGACCAGAGCCGGAGTGTGTGTCCCCACGAGCACCCAGCGCCCGTGGCAAGGGGCCAGGGTCACTCGGGGCTGAAACGCACTCTTGCTCGTCCCCTCCACGCACAAGTCCATGACGTTCAACGGCGCGTGTGAGCGTCGGTGGACGGCGGCCCCACGGGTTAGTGGTGACACCGCCCTCTGCACACAAGCAGACCCGCCAGTGCAGGGCTCTTCCGTTCTGCCCTTCATTCCGGGCCTCCGGTGAGGGTTTTTGTGCAGGTGGGTTGAGAGAGCAAGGGTAGACAGACGGAAGAAAGATGGACGGGCAGACGACGGACAGAGCGGGAAGGATGAAGGGACACACAGGACGGACCCGAGCTCCACACACAGCTCCGCCGTCCTGGACCACTCCCCAGGCTCCGCCCCAGGCTGACCTACAGTCAGGGCCGTGACGTCTCCGGGACAGCACAGCTTCTCCATCCCCTGCCACCAGCTCAGGCAGAAGGATTGATGGGCGCCCCCTCTCCTCCTCAGCCTGGAGCTGCGGCGCCCACCGCCGTCTGAGAGAGGGGCCGTCCTCCCCGTCACATCTCTAAGCAAGGGTTTATTTAACGTCTGTGGTTCCCCATGGACTGTCCTCAGCCAACGGCAGGCTCAAAAGACCATGTTAAAATCCAGGGACCCCAACCACAGGACTCTGTACTCGAGTTTACACCACAAAGCCCCCAAACGGCACATTTCCACGCTTCCAAGCTCAGGACACCTGCCACCCAACACCCTTTCATTTCAGGAGAAAGACACAGACCGAAAAGTGCAGAAATCATCTCTCCTCCGTGAGCAGAACGTAAAAGCGATCTTCTGAAATGCTTTTCACTTTATCAAAAATATGTAAATTACTATCCTCTAAGAAGCTTCTTCCGACTTAAAATTCAGCAGGAGAAACAACAGTCACATGTTCTCTTACAAAGAGAAAAGATTTGCAGACAGGTCCTAAATTTAGAATGAAAACCCAAGGAAAGCAAAACCACCAGTCCACAGCCGAGTAACACTGAGAAGGGGTCAGTTTTCTCCCTCCGGAAGGCAGCGCTCTCCTCCGCCTACCATGGCCCAGAGCTCCAGGCCAACCCCCAGCCCAGAAAAGGGAGAGTCAAGCAGACGCCAGATTGACGTGCACACTGCAGGGCCCCGTCTGCCCGAGCTGGCCTCACAGCTGAGCGGAACCGGCCGCCCAGTGACGCCCGGCTGAGATGTGAAAGCGCGACGGCCATGG